CTTGCTCAGCCACACGTGCGGGACGCCACCCGCATCATCGTCAGCACCGACTCCACGTACGTTCGCAATTTGCTGCAGGGTGTCTTCCAGCCGAAGGAGAACTTCGAGCTCGCGACCTTGGCCACCCACCTGTGGCAGCGTTGTCAAACCGTTTTTGACATGATCATCAGATGGGTGAAGGGTCACAACGGGAACACGGGCAACGAGCAGGCTGACTATCTCGCCAAGTTGGGCAGTGACCAGCGCCACATCGACAGCCACTGGAGACGGCCATACCCTGCGCGTGACTGGGACGCTGCCGCCTTCCAGGCCACCTGCGCTGCCCACCAGGCAGCCTGCCGAGCGGCGCGGAAGCGGCGCCAGGCCGACATCCTCAGCGAGGACGCGGGCGCCGCGCTGGGTCTTCATCTGGCAGCGCCTACGGCGACAGCCTCCAGCACGCGCCAGGGCATCGCCTCGCTGTGCCTCCTGTCCGCCTCCATCTGCGCGGCCGCCGCGAAGGCTGGCCACGTTCCGCGCCGAGGCCGGTGGCGGCCCCCGCCAGGCGACGCTCAGCTGCTCCAGCTGCAGGCGCTGGAGCGCGCGCGGGCTGCGGAGGAGGACCCGCGAGTCAGACATCTCATGGGGCCCGCGGTCTGTAAGCTGAAGCGGGCCATGAGAGATCGCTGTTCCACTGAGCACCTGCCCCGTCTGTGCGAGCGTGGTCGCGCCGAGAAGGCCTACAAGACGGGACGCCCAGTCTATTGCTTGGACAAGATAGATGGCGGCCAGGCGACCACCAGCGCCGAGCGACTGCAGGAGGCCCATGCTTTCTACACTCAGCTGTTCCAGGACGCGACCAGTGACGGACAGTTGCCAGGCTGGATCCACCAGCAGTGGTCAGCCGAGGAGCAGCAACAGCCCGTGCCCTTGAGCCTCCCGCTCCTCCGAATGTGCATCGGTCGCCTGAAGAGCTGCAAGTCCTGCGACGAGACCGACATGATTGTGGGCGAAATGCTTCAGGGGTTGGAGACGGATGTCCTAGAGCACCTGCTGCAGGCCTTCAGACTTCGGCTCAGGAACCACATTTCGGAATATTTCGACACAGCCTGGAGCGATCACGTGGTACAGCTCATCCGAAAAGTGCCAGATGCCCGCAAGATTAGTCAGTTTCGCCCGATTGCCCTGATCTCGGTGTTGCAGAACATATTGAGCATGATGGTGATGGAGACGCAACGAGGAGTGATCGAATCGTGTCGTAGTGAGAGTCAGTTCGCTTTTCCGCAGAGGGTACCAGGCCCACGAAGTCACATATAGCTTGCGCCACTTAGTTGAGAAGTTGTGTGAGTATAAGGACCCCCCGCTCGTCGTTGTGGGCGGAGACATTTAGAAAGTTTTATGATTTTATTCAGCACGCCGCCCTGGCTCGTCGCCTCGATAGCCACGGAGTTGCCCGCGTTGCTATCTCATTCTGGATTCGTGAAACTCGCCGCTCCAAGGCCAGAGTTCGTCTTCCTGGGAGCGCCCTCACGGACCCGATTCGGCGTGAGAAGTCTCTCATCCAAGGGGATCCTGCGGCGCCCGAGCTTAGAAATGTTTTCCTCGATCAGTGTCTTTTCGCTTTTCACGACCTCTGCCGTAAAAATGGCTGGGGTATTTGTTTGGCCACCCCTGGAGAGGAGGATGAGGTGTTAGGAGTTTTGAGCTTCGCCGACAATTTTGGATTATAGCGGGATCGGTCTCGATGGCCGCGATGATGACGGAAGCTTGGCTTCGGATTCTCGAGCGTAGTGGTTTAGAGGTTCCCGTGCAGGAAATGGAGTGCTGCCACACGTACCCGTCACATATCGGCACGCTTCGCGCCCGTGGCACGTGCGTTCCCTGTCGAGCCCGAGCTGAAGGCTTGAAAGTGCTCGGGACTTCTGTCGCCTTCGATCGTAGTTGCACACACGAGGTCTGTAACAGAATTCAACGCGCGTGGCGCACCTGGGCCGTTCATCGAGCGATGTTGACCAATCGGAAGATCAGCCTTCAGAAAAGATTGAAGGCCCTGGATCGATGCGTTCGCCCAGCCCTGACATATTGCATAGGGAGTTTACATATCACCGTTTCTGCCATGAGTAGGATTTCTAAATGTCACATCACCATGCTTAGGCGCACGATCCGCCCGCCGCGCGGGGAATCCGCAGCTGAATATATGAAGTCTGCCATGCATTGCGTTGCTGATGTCAGAGCTAGATACAATGTTGAATCGTGGCCCCAGACCTGCAGAAGGATGCAACACAATTGGGGAGGTTTCTTGCAGTCCTTGGGTAGGGCCTGTCCAGGGAGGATCGCGTACCGCGTCCTTCGTTATCACGATCGTGCTTGGATGACCGAGATGACTAGGTGGCAAGGCTCCCAGTTGCATCACCGAACAGTCGGGATCTGGCGTTGGGAGCGAGATTTCTATAAGTTTTACGGGGGCCACTGGCCCCTGAAGCCTGTCTCTGGGCTGTCTTGGAGAGAGGGGCAGAAGACGTGGCTTGAATGGCGGAAATATTTAAGATAATTCTCGACGCTGCTACCCTTTAAGCTTCTGTGAGCGGCGTCGGGCCCAGGAGGCACCCCTGTATGACGCCTACGCAACGCAACGCAACGCCGTCGACGACACCGACGACGACGACGCCAAAGACGACGACGATTCCGACGACGGCACCGACGTCGGCGGTGCCGATACCGCCGCCGACGACGCCGACGACGACGACGACGACGGCGACTCCGACGCCGACGAAGACGACGACGAGGACGCCGACGCGGACGACGACCAGTACGCCGACGCCGACGAAGGCGAGGACGTCGACGACGACGATTCGGACTCCGCCGCCGACGCCGACGACGACGACGACGACGCCAACTTTGACGCCAATGACGTTGAAACCGACAACGACGCCGCCGCCGCCGCCGCCGCCAACGGCGGCGCCGACACCAACGCCACTGCCGACGAAGACGAGGACAACGACGACGACTCGGACATTGCCTACGACGCCGCCGACGCCAACGCCAACGAACACGAGGACGATGACGTCTACGATTCGGACGACGCCGCCGACGCCGCCGACGCCGCCGACGACGACGACGCCGACGACGACGATTCCGACGACGACGCCGACGATAACGCCGACGACGCACGCCGACGCCGCCGCCGGTGACGACGACGACGACGACGACGACGACGACGACAACGACGGCGATGCCGACGCCGACGCCGACGCCGACGCCGACGACGGCGCCGACGTTGACGCTGCCGCCAACGATGATCTCGACGACGACGACACCGACGACGCCGACGACGATGACGCCGACGCCGCCGACGCCGATGATGACGACGTTAACGACGACGACGCAGATGACGGCTGTGCCGACGCCGACGCCGCCGTCGACGACATCGACGACGACGCCCACGACGAAGATTTCGAAAACGACGCCGCCGACGACGACGCCGACGCCGCTGGCGACGCCGACGACGACGACGACGACGACGACGCCGACGTCGACGACGACGACGACGACGCCGACGACGACGACGACGCCTCCCCCGCCGACGCCAACGGCGGCGCCGACACCGACGCCAACGCCGACGAAAACGAGGACGACGCCGACGACGACGATTCTGACGACAACGACGACGATTCCGACGACCACGCCGACGCCGCCGTCGACGACACCGACGACGACGCCCACAACGACGATTTCGACGACGACGCCGACAACGACGACGACGCCGACGCCGAGGGCGAAACCGACGACGACGACGCCGACGCCGACGCCGACGCCGACGAAGCCAACGACCCTGACACCGACGACGACGACGACGACGACGACGACGGCGACGACGACGACGACGCCGACGACGACGCCTCCCCCGCCGACGCCAACGGCGGCGCCGACACCGACGCCAACGCCGACGAAAACGAGGACGACGCCGACGACGACGATTCCGACGACAACGACGACGATTCCGACGATGACGCCGACGGCGACGCCGAAACCGCCGCCGCCGCCGACGACGTCGACGCCGACGACAACTACGCCGACGCCGCCGCCGCCGACGACGCAGCCGCCGTCGACGACGACGACGACGGCGACGATTCCGCCGACGCCGCCGCCGACGCCGCCGCAACGACGACAACAACGACGACGACGACGACTGCGATGCCGACGCCGACGGCGGCGCCGACGTTGACGCTGCCGCCAACCATGATCTCGACGCCGACGACACCGACGACGCCGACGACGATGACGCCGACGCCGATGATGACGACGTTAACGACGACGACGCAGATGACGGCTGTGCCGACGCCGACGCCGCCGTCTACGACACCGACGACGACGCCCACGACGACGATTTCGAAAACGACGCCGCCGACGACGGCGTCGACGCCGACGCCGATGGCGACGCCGACGACGACGACGACGACGACGACGACGACGACGACGCCGACGCCGACGCCGACGACGCCGACTTTGACGCCAACGACCCTGACACCGACGACGACGACGACGACGACGGCGACGACGACGGCGACGACGACGACGACGACGACGCCGACGACGACGCCTCCCCCGCCGACGCCAACGGCGGCGCCGACACCGATGCCAACGCCGACGAGAACGAGGACGACGCCGACGACGACGATTCCGACGACGACGACGACGACGATTCCGACCACGACGCCGACGGCGACGCCGAAACTGCCGCCGCCGACGACGACGACGACGCCGACGACAAATACGCCGACGCCGCCGCCGCCGCCGCCGCCGCCGACGACGACGACGACGACGACGGCGACGACGACGACGGCGACAGCGATTCCGCTGACGCCGCCGACGTCGACGACGAGGACGACAACGACGACGACGGCGATGCCGACGCCAACGGCGGCGCCGACGTCGACGCCTCCGCCGACGACGATCTCGACGCCGACGACGCCGACGACGCCGGTGGCAGCGGCGGCGGCGGCGGCGGTTGGCGCCAGCAGGCCGATGCTCCGCCCAGCAAGGGCTGCTTCGAGGGGTCGCGCCCTCGGCCTGCGGCCCCTGGGAGGGAGGAGGCGAGCGAGGAGGAGACGGAGGAGGAGGAGGAGAGTCGGGGAGGAGGGCGGCGCGGGAGGAGGGAGGAGGAGGGAGAGAAGGGGAGGGAGGAGGAGGGGGAGGGAGGAGAAGAAGGAGGCGAGGCAGGAGGAGCGGGGATGAGGACCAGGACAAATCCAAGGCACACCAACGATGTTGCAATAAACCCTTCCTTCAAGTTCCAGTCCCACCGGGGCCAAAAAGAATGTGTCTGCAGTACGGGAAGTGCCCCATTGGACGACAACTGTTCGAGAATCTTGATCGCGCCACAGCACAATCTCTCGAATTCCAACGCCTCGAAATCACGTCATTGTTGCGTCCTGGCGATCATGAACCGTGCCAGGACACCACTCCTTGTGATTCGGCACCGCGAATCAACGTTACTGCTGCGTCCTGATGATTCTATTGATGCTGTGCCAGAACACAGTTCCTTGCAATTCCACCCTACAAGCATCTGAAGCGAATGTGCGCGGCGCGAAGGCGAGAGTCACACTGTGAAAAGAAGCCGCCCTCCATCAGTGAAGCTCTTGTCAACATTTAAGACGAATGCCCGCGGCGCTGAGGCGATAGTCACATTTTGAAATGAAGCCGTCCTCCATCCGCGTCTTGTCAACGTTTATGGATAGATTTGCAGCCTCCCGAGAGACATGTTGGACGGGCCGATATCGTTTCGGTTCGAGCGCTTTGGAGAGAATAATTTTCCATGGTAGCGTGAGCGGATGCGCCCCCAGCGCCGAGAGCGGCAGCCTGCGATAGAGCCGCGGCGGGCCAGGCCCGCGGAGGGCTCTTCAGCGCAGGCCATGGCCCAGGCGGTGGAGGCGACCAGCCTCGCGGATCCAGACGAGTGCGAGGACGATTTCGAGGTGTTGTCGGGGAAGGACACTGCCCAGGTGTGGGTCTCGCTGGCAACGCGGCTGGTGAGGCTGGCCTTCAAGAGGCGCTGTTGGGCACACCTCGGACAGCATCTGTGTACGATCAAGAGACGGGGTCAAGATGGCAGCAACAGTCCAGGACGTCCAGGCGCTTCGACTGGCTCTCGAGCAAGTGCAGGGAGAGCTACGGCAAGCACGAGCGGACGCGGACGCCGCGAGTAGGGCGGCGCAGGAGGCTGCGCAGCGGGCACAGCAGGTGCTCGGGCAGCAGGGTGCAGCCGCAGCGGCGGCGCAAGTGCCAGACCCTGGACCAGAGAGGATGGCCGCGGAGATGAAGATGATAGGCAAACCAGAGATGTTCGATGGGGCCAAGCCGCCATGGAGAGACTGGTCGGTTGTGTTCGAGGCGTTCGCAGGTGCGACGAACCCAAACATGGCGGCGGCGATGGCCAGAGCAAAGCGTGAGGCAGAACCAGTGCTGATGACGAGCCTCGAGCCCGGGGACATGCAGTTGTCCAGGACGTTGGGGTACTGGCTCATCCAGACGTGCAGGAGCCAGGCGCTCGACGTAGTGCTGAATGCGGGCAAGCTCGGGGGATTCGAAGCTTGGCGACAACTACACCTTCGATTCGAGCCACAGGCGGCGAGCAGGTACGCTGGACAGCTGATGACGCTGCTCGCCTGGGACTTCAGTGGCGAGATGATGACACGCCTGGAAGCCTTCGAGAGGGAGATCAGCCTGTATGAGTCGGCGTCGGAGGAGACCCTCTCGGACGCGATCAAGGTTGGCATAGTGCTGAGGCAGTTGCCCGAGTCCCCGCTGAGGCAGCACATGATCATGAATGCGGAGAGACTCAAGGAGTGGCCCAAGTTCAGGGAAGAGATCCTGAACGTCCGGCGAGCCCAGGCCGCAGCGGCGGCAGCACAGAACGGGGTGGCCCCGATGGATCTCTCAGCGTTCAACAACCAGGGTGGCAAAGGGCGCTGCAGGATCTGCAATGGCAAGGGCCGCGACGAGAGGAACTGCTGGCACCGCAAGGGCGGGGCCGGGACAGGCAAAGGCAAGTCGGACAGCAAGGGCAAGTCGAGAGGCGACTCCAAGTCGAAGGGATCCTCGAAGGGCGGAAAGGCAAAGGACGGCAAGGCTGGCAAGGGGCCGAAGTGCTTCAACTGCCAGGAGCACGGGCGCATGTCCAAGGACTGCCCGAAGAAGAAGAAGAACAACCTGCACATGATGGAGCCGGAACCCGAGAAGGCGCTGCACGGGCTGTGGCTCGCGCCGCTCACGATCGACGAGAAGGACGCGGCGCAGAAGGCCTTCGACCTGCTGATCGAGGGCGGCCTGGTGGACGACAAGCTGGTGCACGAGCTGAGCAGGCTCGGTGCGGACACGGCGCGGGCATCCCGCAAGATGGTGCTCGGTGTCGACTCGTGCGCAGCTACGACGGTCGTGCCATCAGAGCTGGCGCCGGACTACCCGACGTACGAGAATGACATGAGTGCGATGGGCGAAGGCTACAGGACCGCGAACGGCGGCTGGGTGGCCGACGAGGGCACGAAGGAGCTCATCGGGTCGGTGCGCAATGCGGACGGCTCGGCGCAGGCGCGAGGCATCAAGGCTGGGGTCGCGAAGGTCAGCAAGGCACTCGCCTCTGTCTCGGAGATGGTCGACGCAGGCCATCGCGTCGTCTTTGATGCTGGCGGCAGCTACGCGGCGAACAAGTCGACAGGGGTGATTACACCGTTCCAGAGGCGCAACAACGTGTACGAGATGGAGATGGAGCTGATGCCGTATAGCAAGGCGAAGGACGTGATCGGCCGCGCGGAGGCCTGGTCCAAGCCTAGCGCGAGCGGCAAGAAGCTGAAGGAGATCTGCATGGTGAGGAGCGATGACGCAGGTGATGTAGCTGGATCGAGTCAGGCAGCTGCGGCGGCAGCAGCAGCAGAACCAGTCCAAGAACCTGTTCAACCAGAAGCGGTACCTCCACCACCTGCCCCGGCGGTTGCTCGGGAGCGGCCGGCAGTGAGAGCGGCTCGGAGACCGCGCGAGCCGACCCAGCAGGAGCGAGAGGACCATGAAGTGTCGCACACGCCGCATCGAGCTTGGCGCAGGCACTGCGTTCCAGGACGCGGGCGAGCTGAACCTCACGTGACGAGGAGCCACACGGAGGATGCGACACCAGTCGTGGCGTTTGACCACGGCTACCTCGGCAGCGGCGAGGACGCGGCCCCGATTCTGTTCATGAGGGACTCGCTGCACAGGTATACGGGAGCGGAGGTGTTGACCTGCAAGGGGACGGCGCACGCGCACAGCGCCGACACGCTGGTGAAGTTCGCGGTCAACGGCGGCTACAAGAAGGTGGTCTTCAGGTGCGACAACGAGCCGAGCATCGTCGCCCTGAGGGACGAGGCCGTCAAGAGGCTCAAGAAGGACCACGGCTTTGAGTGCTTGCTGGAGACCTCGGCGGTTGGAGAGTCACAGTCGAACGGTCTAGCTGAAGGGGCTGTCAGGGATATGAAGGGCCTGACGAGGACCCTCAAGCACGCGGTGGAGGAGACGCACGGAGTCATGATCGGCCCGAAGCATCCGTGCCTGCCGTGGACGGTGAGGCACGGCGCAGCAGTCCACAATCGAGGTCAAGTGGACTCGGACGGGCGCGCGCCGTACGAGCTGAGGAAGGGGCGCGCTTACAAGAGGGCGCTCCCGGCGTTCGGTGAGAAGGTCTTCTACCTGCCAGTCAGCAAGAGGGAGTCGAGGCTGGTGGACAGGTGGCTGGAGGGCGTCTTCTACGGGATCCGCGACGACAGCGACGAGGTGTACGCGGCGACGCCGAAGGGCGTGATGAGAGCCAGGAGTGTCAAGAGGATGCCATTGGCAGCGAGGAGTGACAAGGCTCTTTTCTCAGAGCTGCAGGGCGCGCCGTGGCGACCTGTTCCTGGCCAAGAAGGCGAAGGACTCGAAGTACCACCTGCCATGGCGAAGGTGGTGGCGGATCAGGTGGTGCCGGACGTGGATATGCCCCCTGTTCCAGGACTTGTGGGTCCTCCTGCTCCGAGGAGGGTCTACATCAGGAAGGGCGTGGAGCTGCGGCGCTACGGGTGCAACCCCAGGTTGCAAGGGCTGCGCAGCAGCTCGGGACAACCAGCGCGCGACCATGCACAACGAGGAATGCCGAACGAGGATCGAGAAAGCGATGGAGGACGACCAGACGTTCGGCGGTGGAGCTCGGGTGGCAGAGGCTCACCTACGGCGAGTAGCTGGTGAGCGACCCGAGAGAAGTGAAGACGAAGAACCTGGAGCCAAGCGAGGACGAGTCGGTGATCGTGGACCAGTCGGGGAACCAGGGGCGCCAAGCTCATCTGGGACAGCGTCGGGAAGCGTTCCGGCGGCGGCGGACGTGGCCATGGGCGACGCGGCGGAGATTGGTGCGCTGCTGGAACAGCTTGGTCTCGACAGCTTGGATTTGCAGGAGGTGTTCAACCCAGGGGAGTTCGCCAAGGGAGCTCCAAAGTTCAACCTGGAGCCAGGAGTAGCGATGGACCTCAGGACGGGCTGGGACTTCCGGCTCGAGGAGCAGCGGAAGCGAGCGAGAGCGGAGATTGAGGAGGGAGACCCTGCTTTCCTCATCATGTCTCCTGTACGCACCCCGTTCTCACAGCTGATGGAGTTGCTGAAGGCGAGCGGCAAGCGCGACGAGGTCAAGTTTCAGAGGCTGCTCGCGGAGTGCAAGGTCTTCCTGGGCTTCTGTATGGAGCTGGCGGCCTACCAGCATTCGAAGGGGAAGTGGTTCCTGTTCGAGCACCCTTGGACGGCGTCAAGCTGGAAAGAGGAGTGCATCAAGAGCATCAGGGAGCTGCCCGGCGTCATAGTGGTCAAGGGCAGCCAGTGTGTGTTCGGAGCCAAGTCATACTGGCCGGACGGCTCGGAGGGCCTCGTGGCGAAGCCGACGGGCTGGATGACGAATAGCCGCGAGGTGGCGAAGCAGGTGGGGATCGTGTGCGACGGCCCCCACGAGCATGTGCACCTCCTGGAGAGAAGGGCAAAGGCGGCTGAGAGGTACCCCTTAGGGCTGGTGAAGGCAATCCTGAAGGGCATCAGGGAAGATCGGTAAAGGGATCCATGCGTTCGAGGTTGGCCAGACCGCGGAGGAGCCAGAGATCCTGGACCAGGCGACCGAGGAGGAGATGGCGACCTTCTACGACGGGATCAGCGGCGCGGTGCTGGACCCGATAGGCGTCAAGAACGCACGCATGGACGAGATGGGCTACATGAGCAGGCTCGGAGTGTTTGAGAGGAGAAAAATTTCCGAGGCGCTGCAAGCGACGGGGACCAAGCCGCTTCCAAGCGGCTGGGTCGACACCAACAAGGGAGACGACCAGAAACCAGAACTACGGAGTCGGTTGGTGGCGAAAGAGACGCGGAAGCTGAGCACCCTTGGGCCTGAGGACGCTGCGGCGACCTTCGCGGCGACCCCGCCGCTGGAGGGCCTGAGGATGATTCTGTCTATGGCGATGACAGGGCGGCATGAAGATCGAGTGCTGACCTTCATCGATATCTCAAGAGCGCATCTACACTCGGAGCTGCAGAGGCCAGTGTACTTGAAGGCGCCAGCGGAGGATCTAGAGTGCAAGGACGACGAGTGCTGGCTGCTGCTGAAGGCCATGTATGGGCTGAGAGATGCCGGCTCATCCTTCGACCTGAAGGCGGAGGACATCATGGTGAGGATCCTGAAGTCGAAGCAGGGCGAGTTCTCGCCTTGCATCTACCAGGTTGGCAAGCTGGTCGTTTGGAGGCACGGTGACGATTTCGTGGTGCTCGGTGGGCGAAAGGATTCAAAGGCTTTTGCGGAGAACCTCGGCGAGCACCTGATCGTGAAAATACGAGGAGTTCTCGGACCTGACCCGCAGAGCGGCGACATCGACGAGATCGTGGTGCTGAATCGCATCGTGAGGTGGGTCAGGCCGAACGGCAACGACGTGGAGAAGATCGAGTACGAGGCGGACCCGAGGCACGTGGAGATCATCCTGGCCCAACTGGGCCTGCAGGGTAAAGAGAGCAAGCCAGTGGTCACGCCGGGGATCAAGAGGCAGGAGCTGGATGGAGAAGCACTACAAGGACGAGAGCGGGTCATCTACCGCTCAGTGTGCATGCGTATTCAATACCTGGCGCAGGATCGACCTGATCTACAGTACGCGGCGAAGGAATCAGCACGAGTGATGCAGGACCCGACGATTGGCGGGTGGCAGTCCATTGAACGGATCGGACGGTACCTCGTAGGTACCCCAAGGCTGGTGGTTGAGTATCCACGGCAGGCAGATCGGCGAGTTGCTCAGGTCTACACGGACAGTGACTTCGCAGGCTGCCTGAGGACACGTAAGTCTACTTCATCGTGCACGGTGATGATTGGGAAGCATTGGATTAGAAGCAGTTCGACAACCCAAGGGTTCAATGCTCTATCTACGGGAGAAGCGGAGTTCCATGCGCTGGTGAAGGGCGGCAGTATCGGGCTCGGCCTCAAGACTCTCGCAAAGGACATGGGTGTAGATCTCGAGATCGTGCTGAAGTGCGACGCGACGGCGGGCAAGGGCATCGCTGAACGTCGTGGAGTCGGACGAGTTCGACACCTTCATACACCTCTGCTGTGGCTGCAAAGGACTGTGCAGCAGAAAAAGCTGCGTGTCACCAAGATAGCAGGTCTCGAGAACATCAGTGACATCGGTACGAAGCACCTGGACGGGCCCCTGATTAAGAAGTTCCTGACGATGATGGGGTTCGTGGCGAGGGCAGGTCGGAGCCGACTGGCCCTGCGGGCAGCGCTGGATGGATGAGTGATGAGTAAGACATCCCTCAGAGCGCTTGAGCTGGCGGCGGCGTTTGGCCGCACGCTTTTGATTCTACGGAGTGGTGGATCGCCACGCTCCGCTGACTTTGTGCCGGCCGTAAGAGTCGGCGGCCTCCCACGCGGAAGGAGCGCGGAAGGCCGGGAGTGCTGGATAGATTTGCAGCCTGCCGAGAGACATGTTGGACGGGCCGATGTCGTTTCGGTTCGAGCGCTTCGGATATAATAATTATCCCGTTTAAGACGAATGTCCGCGGCGCTGAAACAAGAGCTCAGTTTTGAAAAGGACAACCCTCCATCCGTGAAGCTGTTGCGAATTTGGGGAGCCACAGTTTGAAAACGACCCGCCCCCATCCGTGAAATTCTTGATGCTGTGTAAGACGAGTGTGCGCTGTGCTGAGGCGAGGTCCACATATTGTCACAACGACCCGCCTTCCATTTGTGATATTCTTGCCAGAGTTGGAGACGAGCGCGCGCGACGCTTAGGCGACAGCCACATTTTAAAAGCGGCCCGTCATCCACCCGTGGGACGGTTGCAAGTTCCAAGCTTCAGGATCATAGATGATGAAGACAACTCAGGCGAAACACCCGGCCCGCCATTCCGACACGTCTCTGGGTGCGAGGGAGAGGAGTTATGTAGAAGAAAAGGGGAGGAGGGAGGTGGGAGGAGGAGAAGAAGGAGGCGACGGAAGAGAGGGAGAAGGAGGAGGGGAACGGGGAGGAGGAGGAGGAGGATCGAGAAAGAGGGAGGGACGAGGAGGAGGAAGGAGGAGGAGGAGGAGAAAGAGTGAGGAGGAGGCGGCGGAGAAAAGAAAGAGGTATGCGGACTAGGATGGAGGAGGGGAAGAAGGGAGGGAGAGAAGGAGCGAGGACCATTTCTGGCTGAAGCCACATTGACTCGGGCCGTTTTTTGACCAGGCCGTTGGATCTTGGAAGCAGCTATTTGTGGATCAATCCCGAGTCTTGGCCCCGCGCGATCGGATTGAACGCGTTGGTGTCCTGGGCGATATGTCCCACCCTTGAGTATGCCCTCGAGTCGCCCGCCCAGTTTGATCCGACCGCCTGCCCCTTCTATTAGGGTGCGCCCGCCGGATCCGCTTGTGAGGATCCGCCCACCCGCCTCGGCCCACGGTCTTTATGCTCCATGGGCCCTGTGACTGTAAAACATTTTTGGGTTGGGGCGCTTGAATCAAACGGGTGTGGACACAATAGCTTGCACCACGGGATTTCCTAAGATATGCTGCTAACGTGCGCACGGGAACTTGTACCTACAGTAGGCATGCCGTCCCGAAGGCCAGAACAAAGATAACGTGTTGCTAGAACTGACGGTGTTGTGGGATATGCGTGGGCACGATGGCTTGCGCCACTGGAATTCCTCAGAGATGCTGCTAACGTGCGCACGGGAAGTTGTAATTACAGCCGGCCTGCCTTCCGAAGACCCGAAAAACGAGAACGCGCTGCTAGTATTGACGGTGCTGTGGAATATGCGGCCCTATTCCTAGAAGGTCCCGCTTCCGACTCTTCAGCCCCGACTCCATTGCCGTCGCCTCGCCTCTTACTCCAACTTCGGCCCCGACCCCAGCACCGGCGCCAGCGCAATATCCAACACCAGCTGCGATTCCCCAGCTCCGATTCCCCTGCCGATATCACGGCTCCGACTCCAGCTCCCACCCCTATTCCGACGACGCAGGTTCCGACCTGGGCAACGACTCCAGCGCCATTTCCAACACCAGTTCCGCTTCTAGCTCCAGCACCCATGCCACGTCTTCAAACGCCAGCTTCGACCCCCTTCCGACGCGAGCTCCGATTGCGACACCACTCCCGACTCCTGCGACAGTGCCAAAACCAGCTCCAGTTTCCTAGCCCAGTCTCCCCTGCCGCTGCCACAGCTCCGACGCCAGCTCTGACCCGCCTCCGACGCCAGCTCCAGATCCGACCCTGGCTTCGACTCCCCCGCCGCTATCACGGCTCCGACGTCAGTTCCAACTATTTCCGAACCTTCCTCCGACGAAAATTCTGGCCCCGACCCCGGCACCGACTCGAGCGCCGTTTCCAACACGAGCTCCGATTCTTTGAGGTACTCCGGCACCCTTGCCACATCCTCCGTCGCCAGTTCCTCTGACGATACCAGCAGCACGACGTGAGACGAACAACGGGCTCCAGCGCCACGACAATGAGCAGTGCGGTGGACACCAGCAGCTAGGGGCTGATTGGTTTGAGTTTGGTGCGCACACCTGGAGCGGGCAAATCCTGCCCCCCTCGCACACAGTCCACTTGGCCACAAGTAACAGAGCATCTGCCCGCGCATCCAGTTGGACGGATGTTAACAGGTCCAGCGAGCGACACGTCGTCGACGACGAACGCAGCCAGTATGACGTTGAGCAGTTCGACTTATCGATGTCCTTGCGCGTTCTTGTTCTCTTTGAGCGGCGGACGACGCTGGCCCAGCTGCGACCGCCTTACCAACGCCGGCACCATCTCCGATCCCAATGTGCCTGTTTATTTCAAGTGCGGGATGTGTGTGCGGCCCTGTATGTTCAGAGGTTCTTCCTCCTTCCGTCTCTCCCTCTCTCTCTATCTTTGTCTCTCTCGCTCTCTTTCTCTCTCCCTCTCTCTCTCTCTCTCTCTCTCCGCCCTCGTGCATGCCCGAGTGTTTCGAACTGTATCGTGCGTTTCGTGTCCCTGCGTGCCGGCTCGCTCGTGCTAGGCTGCGCTCCGGGAGTGCATGTTCATGAGGCGCGATGGGATTGTGGGTTCTAGCACCGCGGCCGTGTCTCGGCACCTTGGGCCCAACTCACAACACCAACTTTTGTATATGGAAGGTGCAGTTCTGCTGCCAAAGCTACGCCCCGCCTAGCCACTGTGGTTTGCAGTCTTCTCTCGCTCCTCCTCTCGCTCTCCTTTCCATCTCCCCGTTCCGCTCCTCCCCCTGGGTTGCCGCTGTGTGCTTATTATAATCGTGGCCGTTTGGGCCGCAGGGGACCATCGCACAGTACCTTTGCCCCTTCTCCTCCCCTTCCATCCTCCTCGTGCCGGCCTTGTCTTATTGTTTGTTGCAGCGCGATGGGAGTCGCAATGTGAGTTGATGGACGAGTTGTGCGGAGCTTGCTGCGGGCGAAATGTTTCTCCGCTGTGGCGCCTTGGGCTGTCTAAGCCGCTAGGGGTCTGCGCAGCGTCTCTGCCTGCTCCTCCCTTCCGGTTGCTTGGCCGGCACACTTCGGCTGCTCACCTTTGATGTGGACATTGTTTGAAGGGGTGCTTGCGCGGGGAAACAAAAAACATGTTTAAACAAATCAACCCGACCCGACCGCCCGTTAGAGTCCGCCCGACACGCCCGCGAGGGTCCGCCCGCCCGGCCCGTCCGTTTGGGTGCGCCCACCCGGCCCGCTTCTGAGGGCCTCTCTGGCCGCTCAATCGCCGTTTCGACCTCCCGTTCTAGTCTTCTTCTGTTTTCGCACACCCTTCGGAGGCTCCAGAAAATCAGCGGCCAATATCGCGTTCACAGGAATCGGGAGTAGGGAACGACAACAGAGCAGAGAGGACCAGCTGCAGGACGCCAACACCATTGCGTGCGGGGAGGAGAAAGGATGGAGATGGGAGCAAAGATGGGCGACGTTCTCCTCAGGCCACGCATCCCCCCCACGCACGACGTCGTGAAAATCACAACGCCGTGAAGATATCACGACTAGAGCCCTCGACTAGACTTATCGAGCCAGGTGGGCCCGAAAGGCTCCTGGGCCCCATGACGGGACAGCAGCGTTTGCCGTATTGTTTCGCCACGACGCTTAGTGGGGGTTCCTCCCCCCTGGCCCCGTGTGACCCGCCAAATCAAACCAGGAAGATGTGGAAACAATGCATGCGCCGCGGCCCGCTCTTCCCCCGTGTCCCCAGCTCTGTCCTCCTGCCGCTGGAGGTCGCTTGCGTCTCTGACGTCGGCATCTCCGGCGTCACCGTCGCCGTCGCTGCCATCGTCTCCGACGCCGTCGTCTGGCGCTGGCGTCGCCGCTGACGTCTGTCGCCTACGTCGTCGGTCTGGGGCGCGTCGTCCCGAGGTGCTTCGCGGGCTTGCTCGGCTATCCGCCTGCGGGCGGCGCGGGTGCGACCAGCTACGGGGAGCGAGCCCAGATGAGGAGGAGGAGGAGGAGGAGGAGGAGGAGGAGGAGGAGGAGGAGGAGGAGGAGAGGGTAAATCAGGAGGGTGAGGAGGCGGAGGTAGAGGAGGTGAGCGGGGATGAGGAGAAGAAGGAGGCGAAAGAGGAGGAGGAGGAGAAGGACAGGAGGAGGAGGAGGAGGAGGAGGACAGGAGGAGGAGGAGGAGGAGGAGGAGGAGAAGAGGGAGGCGAAGGAGGAGAGGAGGGCCACTTTGGTTCCAGGTTCACAATATACCGCGGCAGCGCGCCAGCCCGCAGGGGTCCAGCCTCGAATCGAAACTTCGAAACCACACGGGAACATCCCCTTTTGCCCCTACCTTTCACATGCCGCTTCATTTTGACAATCCGTTTCGACTACTTGTTATTATTTCCTCCAGGGCATTCCATCATCCACCATTCAGGTGACGTCAGCACCACCACGACTTCGACGTCGGCCAACCCAGCGTGGCACCGATGGGAACGAGAACGAGGAACAGTAGCGCGAATGTGACTACGAGTTGCATCATAACGTTCCCTACTTGATCAGCACGCGCAGCAACATATCCTCTCTGCACAAGAAGTCCTCGAGACGCACCACAATCCGCAACAACCACCGCGACATCCACCTCCAGCTCCAACTATGGCGACACCGCGAGCGGTTCACCGACTACGCCACCACCCTGGAGGGCAACTTCGAGTCGAACTCCAAGCATGGACTTGATCCCCGACCTACGACCGGTGGAGGAACGACAAGAAGTTGAAGCCCGAGCACCCCGACACCTACTGGAGCTGGGGCTCCAGTCGTAAAGGAGTGGTACAGGCATCAACGGCACAGCCAGCAAGGGCAAGGGCAGCTTCGCAAAGCCGTACGACGACATCGAGGGCAGCAGCCGCCAGCAGAAGGGCAAGAACGAGGACAAAACCAGCAAGGGCAAACGGTAAACAACACCCGACGAGGATGCCGCAGCCAACCAGGAGCAAAGGGGCTCCCCCCAGGACTACAATGACCACCTCAAAAACATCATCGGCAACGGCGCGCCCATGCGCAAGGTTTGCGCCACGCGCGTGCCAGACTGGGGGCCACCATCAAACGAGCCGAAGTTCAAGGAGGATTGGAAGAAGGTCAAGGTCCTTGACCAGCGGCGACCAGCAGCCTGCATCATGACGAACAGTGGTGCCGGCTTACCCACAAAACATGCGAAATCACAGCTTGCCTTCATCAGAGCCATCATCATGAGCAGGCGAGGGAAATCGACCGCATCCAGCAGACAACGGAGGACCACTGCGAGCAAAGAAAAGGCCAACAGGGAGACACCGAAAATTACACCAATGTTTTCGTCGCTGATATCGACGAGTTCCACGACATCCAGAGGGGCCTCGCCTCGCCAGAGACGATGCTTACAAAGACATAGGAGCGGCCGACGACGAAGCAGACCAACCACCAAGAGAGGGTTCCCACAGGAAGATCCCAACACCAGCCCTGGGACGGCAGAACAGGGTTGGCGAAACTACCGATGGAAAAATGTCGGGGCACTTCTTAAGACCTTAAAAGGAGGAGAACCAACGAATTGCCGAGGACATGTTGAACAACAAGGACGAGGCCAACAAGGACGTCGACGATATCTACAGGATCACCAAGGAGAACAACAAGGCAAGGAAGAAAGCCGCAGCTGAGCTACAGGACCTACCGAGGCGCTTCGTGCTAAACCAAATGAGCAACAATAAGCACATAGTCGAGCTCAAAGCGACCATGACGAGTTGAAGGAGCTCGCGAACGCCGCGATCACGACCGAGAAGATGGCGGCCCGCCACGAGCATATCCCGTCCAAAACCGCGGCGGCTTTGCGCAGGACCGATGAGGAACTCGAGACCACCAAGAAGACAGCAAGCCGCACTGTGCAACGCGACCACCATTCCGGCGACCACAGCAATATCGCCAGCATCCAGGACGAGTTGGGAGGGCCTAGCAGAGACTCGCCCAGCAGGACACCGACCACGCGAGCATCCAACATCGGTTGCACCTCGTCGAAAGCACAGCCATGAAAGTGCAAATATATTGCAACATGTCGCAGGAGGCCGAGCAGCACATCTCCATCCTCAACGCTCAGAGGGTCGACGCGCCAGCGAGCAGCTCAAGCTGCGCAACCAGTGGACGGAGTCCGACAATCTGCTCTTCCAGACCCGTGCCGAGATGAATGACCGAGAGAGGCAGACGCAGGCCACCGCCCACAGCGCGCCAGACGAGCACCGGCAGAGGGTAGCCAACATCGCAAGGTTCGTCAGCGCTAGAGACGCCTCGCAAGCCCAACAGCACGAACGACACATACGAAACGCGCTCAACGACAAGAGCGAACACCAGGAGCAGGCGCAACACCACCCTTTCCAGGCTGAAGGACAAGTACAACTAATACTCCGGCGAGCGCCGCTCGGCACAGCTGGGCAGCAGGAGGCCCGCGGCCGCCACCACGAGGCCCAAATCAACGCACAGAAAGAATCGACTTAGAGGGAACGCAACTCTACGCGCGAAGGTCGCGCTGAGGAGGCGACCCGGGAGTGCCGCGATGCCCGACAAGCAGTTGCCCTAGCGCAACAGCGCCTCGACAACGCGGAGATGGGAGACGCGATCGAGGAGGCCCCATCCACCGAGATCCCCAGCGATGGCCATGATAACAATACCTTCACGAAGCCGCGTCGACCAATGCCCAGCCAACAGGCGCTTCCAGGCGAGACGCAAATGACCCAATCGCCGAGCGACCAAGCCGCAAGAGAGGACGCATGGGGACTGGATGCTTCCCCACCGACGGCCGACGACCATGGGCACTTCCACGCGTCGACCCCAGTCACGAGGCATCGCACTCCTCACGCGACTCGCGACCTAGACGCCGACATACCGACAGAAAGCGACGGGGCACGCTACGCCGAAGGCACCGACGCCCGACGCTTGAACACCTGGGCCGACACCAGCGGGACAACCCCGACCAGCTGTCACGCTCGCGGGCGCGCCCCCCCCAAGGTACAGAAAGACGAGGACCTTGCGACCGCCGAGGAGATGACCCCGTAGGCCACCACTCCACAGCGCATCTGCATCGGCATTGGCAGGGGGGCATCGTGACCACCGGCCCGAAAGCACCCAGCACCACCGCCGCGAAGTTCCAGCGCGCGGAGCACAAGGCGGGCAACGCCCGACCCCGACGAGGCCTCCCAGATCGTGCCGCACTCTACAGGCACGGCAATAGACTTGGCACCCAGCGACGACGCAGCCCACGGCACGGGGGCTGCATTATCAGCCGACAGGCGTCAACACGGCAGCGCGATGATGGAGGACCACAGCGCTGCCAGAGGTGAGTCTGGATCATCGTGAGCAAGAGCGCTACCTTAGACCTGTTCACCCCGCCACTTGGGGCAGGAAACCCATCGCAGCGGCATCCGACAGGCGATTCTATTTAATTGGACGAGCCACAGGGCCAACCACATGGACTCGGACTTGCCATGGCCCCTCTACGATGGAAAGCAAGAACAACCGGCAGGCCCCCACGCCGGGGGAGAGGCGTGACGGACGACGCAGTGCAAACACGATGCCCACATCCTTTGCCGTGCTTCCACGCGCCAACAATCACCGACCTCTCCACCGCGGCGCAGGACGGCCACCGAAACCCAACTGATGTACGCGGACGAGTGCAGGATGAGCGGCGCCCACTCCCACTTCTGCGACAGTTCGCACGCAAACCTGGAGAACCGACCATAGAGCACCGCTTCAGTAGCGACGGTGTCTCCCGATCGCCAGCGGGATCCCGCGGAGCTGATGCAACGCCGGCCCCGACGAGTCAGGCCCGCGACTGACATGGCCAATTTGGGGGCGATACCTGCTCCGCGGGAGAGGGCCCTTCACGGCATGGTCGACCACAGGGACATCAGACGAGAGAAGCGGTTCGATCCGCGTGCACGGTGACAAAACCGATTGCTGAAGGCCTCAGCCATTCTCTCTTCGTCGCCGTGTTCCTGGCCGTCGATTTTGCCGGGGGCCCGTCGTCCTCCCCCAGTGCCTCCTCGCCCTCGCCTTGGAGCGCCTCCTCCTCTTTGGAGTACGCCGTTGACAGTTTCGCATCCGTCGTCCTCATCATCCTCCTGAGGCACCCCCTCCTCATCGTTGGATATTTCTCTCCGTCGTCCCCGTCAGCACGGGGCGCCCCCCGCAACCTCGGCGGATTCGGCGCGGTGCTGGCGGGCGTCCTCCACGTCGACGTCACCAGTAATGTCGTCGCTTGAGTCCCGGCGCCCCGCCTCTTAGCAGCAGAGGCGGGTCGACGGCCTTCCGCGCCGGCTCGACATTCGAGCACGATGTCCTGGCGCGTCCGTCGAACATCTCCACGGCGGCAACATGGCCGACGGCCCCGGGAGAGGAGGACGAGGAGGAGGAGGAGAAGGTGACCTGGCGACGACACGGCACTGGGTGGCCGGGTGGCGGTTCTCTGTGGAGGCCGTGCGGTGGGCGTGCGATGGCTGGCCGGTGGACTTGCGAATGTGCCCGTCAATGTGTAGGTGTTTATGTTGCCTCTTGCTGGGTCCTCCGTGTTTGAGGATGTATTTCAATTTGGGTCTCAAGATGTTGATGTTTGGGGAGTTGTCCTCCTCCTCCGCCTCTTCCTCCTCCTCATCATCCTCATCCTCCTCTTCCTCTTCCTCCTCATCATCATCCTAATCAGCATGTTGCTGCTCGCTGTTTGTCCTCCTGTTCCCCCCGCACCTCCAATAACCGGACTTGTTTCATGACGTCGACCCCTGGACCTCTCGACCTGTTCCCGCCCCGGCCCAGCTTGCCATCCCGAGTCGCCCTTAAACGGCCCTGGGCTCTGGAAGCGGCCCCCAGGCGCCGAAAGGCGGCAAACCATCCAGCGTCACCTTCCCATGCATTCGACGAAGTATTTGTTCAATGCGCGGCCCCAGGGGCCCCGATTTCCCAGGGCGCGAGCGTTCGTCTGCCATCCG